TAAACTGAATACATTACCCTGTTCTTGTCCGTTTGAATGAACATCTGAATTGATCAGACTGAATTGAAATAAAGGAAAAGAAAGCAATTTCCAACTGCTTTCTCTGCAGTTATTAATATGCTACAATCGTTTTTCTTCGTGGTAAAGTAGAGTTCAAATTTCCACAAAGCAAAATTAAAAGTCACGATCTACTTCTGATTTGAATTTAAGCTAATAACAGCGAAAATGTGGGATAAATTCTCTAAGTATGTTATCAATCAATGTTGAACTTAAATGAGTTTTCATTGTTGCGTAAAGTAAGAATAATGCACTAAAATAAGAATAAAGTTATGAAACAATTATTCAGTTTGACATTTGTACCTTAGCATTTGGACAAACATTTGGAACACTTCTTCAAGAGTGCATAGATTTTTTTAAATGTTTGATAATAATGCATTATTTAATAAATGCATATTTTTTCTATTATTTTTTGCAAGTCATTTAAAAATTAGAAATTTTAAAGCTTATAAAATATGTTTTTTTTGATTTTTGATTTTTCTTAAAATTGCTTGCTTTAATGTTAACATAATTTAATTTACTTTTCTGAAAATATTCAATGCTAAGTTTATCTGTTATAAAGTTAAGTTTTTGCTATTAACATTTAATAATAAAACATGAAAATGCCAGTTTCAACTAGAAAATTCATTTTTTTACTTATTCATTATTTTCAATACTCTAATTTATTTTTTCTCATTTTATAGTTGAAAAAATATGAAAACTTTAAACATGTGGAAAGAAAAATTATAAGCTTCATCATTCTGTGTTCAATAATAAAAAAAATTAAATTAAGTCTTGGAATCGTCCTTAAACAGTTGCTCTAATTCTGACATAAGTCATTTTATCATTATTTTAAAATAGAACTAAGAAAATAATTATTTTTTTTAATATTATAATAAAGCAAAAAGTACACTTTCAGAAAATTTTTGTCCCAAACTCATGTAAGAACTATTTAGACCATGGTTTTTTTGTATGGAAGTGATGATGACCATGGTTTTAGACCTGGGACCTTATTTAGACCATGGTTTTTTTATCTTCCAACAACTTGCATAATACAGTTTAATATATAATTTTAGTAAATAACTTTAATTTTCAGTGCGTAAATGATGTCTTATATATTTATTTAAACTTATTTATTTTACACGGAGGTCTTAGAACGCAAAGCATGTATTAAAAAACTGATAAAGGTCTCATTCAAGCTTATTTATTATTAAAAGCCTTTAAATAACTTCAATCTTCAATTTTGAGTACATTATTAAAACACATATAAAAATATATAAACAATATGAAAAATATATATCGAAAAAGTATTAGATCATCCTTGAAATAATACTTATTTCATGTTTTTCTAAATACTACCAAAATAATTTCCAAGCTAATTCCAACCAATTCCAGTCTATATTTTTTTAAAATATCATTTGCTACACTGTCTTAATAAAAACTTTTCGGAAACAAGATTTAAAAATTTATTTTATTCGTGCAACGAAAATGTCTCTGTAATGCTAGTTTAAATCTTTCAAAATAATTGTCTAGTGAATATGATTATTTAAATATGTAATCCAATGATCTAATTATATTCTAATGCAAAGCCTACTATTTTTTTTTCTTTTCCTCCAGACTGTAGTTGTCATGGAGACAAAAGCATAATTATCTTCCTTGTAATGAATGATTTAGTATTTCGTCTTTCCAAAATAAGTATCACAGTTATCTTACGCTTTCGAATCACTTATGCAACTTTGGAATCATATCTCTTCTCAATAATAGCAATTATGACATAATATATTCTTTTTTTATTTTAATTGTTTCTGGGAAACTTAAAAAATACATTCTTGCTGTTTAGTTCTTATTGACTATATAATTAAACAACCTTTCCGAGAGAGTTTTAAGGTATGTCATTAGAAACAACCGTTTCTAAAGATAACGTTGGTTAAACTAGGTGAATATTATCTTTAAATATTTCTAAGCAATGAAGAACAACTCCTTGATTCCAGAGAGAGAAAAAACAAGCATTACATCTAACACGATAATAAATTCTTTAAAAAAAAGTTTTTTATTTGTCTTACATGCTCAGTGCAATACTTCCAACGTCATTGAAAAATTGTTTCAGAATCTTTGAATACTAATAAACAGCTGTTAAACAAACCACAGTGCTGACGTACAATATCATCAGTGATAGACGGATCATGAGTTAGAGCTCCCTTCTTACCTGGCTAACCATAAGAAGTTTTTGAGGTTTTCCTCTTCATGTAACTCAAATTCGTGTTAGTTCAATCAGAAAGATCTCTACAGTTACGAATTTCTCTTAATACTTGATCCATCAGTTCCCTTGTCTTCTGGATTAGGTTCAAAATTACAAGGCCATCGAGCTATAAAGCGTGGATATAACTGCATTATTAATACTAACTCAAAATTGGTTTGGCTATTCAATAACGATTGGAAAATAAAAAATATTTTATTTATAACCAGATTTTTTTCACGCTATGAAACTGATCTATTTTTTATTTTGATTTACGTAAATCGCCAAATTTCTGATAAAAAGTATTTAATAAGATTTGTCGAAGCTATCTTATTTCATTTTCATTTTGTATAATTTTGGCTTACATATATTCTGCCCGCATTTTAACCTTTTTCATTTGTTTGTTTTTTCATTGTTTTAGCGACAGATATGATTTATTTTATATATATATNATATATATATATACTTCTTTTCGAAGCTCATTAATGGTTAAAATATTTTAAATTGATTTAAATGTAAATATGTGATGCACAATTAACGACGATGTATATTAAATGAGTTTTTATTAAAGCAAAAAAATCACAAATCAATAATTTTATCTCTAGTCATATACATTTTTTCACGTATAATCTTAGAATCTTTATCGAACACATAATCCTTTCAGTGAAAATTTAGAACTCTTAGAATTTAGTTGATTGTCATTATATTCAAGACAAAAATATAACATCTCTTAATATAAAAATGGTTTCCTATTACCGCTTTAAATTAAGCGGAAAGCTTTACTGAAAAGTTTTTTTTATCATTAATAATAAATTAAAGCCTTCATCAAAGGTTCGTCTTTCTAAAATCTTTATTTTCTCGCGCTTTAATTTTTGTTTTGAAAATAACAGCCGATAACACAAGTGACATAGCTTAAATTGTTAGTAACAATTTTCATTTATTTATTTTTTTTAAATAAGAACTAAAGTAATAAAAAAAAGGTTTAAAATCCTGAAATTCTTCAGCAATGCATTAATGCTTGTTAGCATTAAATTTTTATTTGAAATCAGGAATTCAATCAAATAAATTCCAAATTCTTAAGAATCACTTTTTTTACAAAGAAAATTCAGTCACGTTTCGTAGCAACTAAACCTTAATTATTGGTGCTGATTATAGCGGAAGTACGGATGTCTGTGGAATTCAATTTCTATTTTTCCTCGCTTCTTTATTTGTTCAACTTTTATGCCCTTCTAATGATTAGAAATAACATATTTCTTATTTAAGACAGCAATCTATTATTTTCTCGAAATGTAATTCAATCTAAATTGAAAGAGAATTTTAAAGCAAAAATTTTATTTTAAACCATGTATACAGATTTTTTTTCTTTTCTCGAAGCATTTCTATTCTCTTTAGGAAATTTTTGAAGGAAATGAAAAATAAAATTGAACTATTTATTATTGGAAATCTATTATATAAAATCTGAACATTTTGTATTATTTAAATTTTAAAAGGAAGGTTCATAAATGAAGCTTCATAATAAAAGAATCTTAAGGAAAAGTTTGTGTTAAAAATTTACGAAAGGAAAGTTTAATGGCAGAAAATGTCTATAATGGAAAGTTCTTAACGTAAAGTTTATATTCGAAAGAATAAGGTACAAAACCGCTTACATAAAAGCATTGCTCTTAAAATTGTACTGGCTTGCGATTTATTTATATTTTAAAAGTTATTATGGCACAAATAAAGTTAGATGACCTCTTTCGTTATAGTTCTCTTACATTTTCATACAAATAAAACTAAAGGTGCAAAAAAAGTTTAAAATGGTAACTTAATAATTATTTGATTTATCTCTATCTTCAGTATTAAACATAGTATTAAACTAAAATTCTGAATCTCCTCATTTTTACAAATGAAAAAAATATCAGGTCTTCATATAAGTAAACCCTAATTGATGTTGACAACTGCAGAAATATTGACTGTGGAAATTTATTTATACTCATTAACTCTCTAAAACTCTAATATTTTTTTCGATCCGAAATGGTATAGTATTATTTTGAAATCTAAATGGATATGAACCGAAATAAATCGTAATTCAATTTAAAAAAAAATTTCTAAAGAAATTCATTGTGATGATTTCAATTATATCGAAAATAACGCTCCTAGTTCCTTTAAGCATTTTTTTAAACATAAAAAGTTTCTGTAATATAATATACAAGTATTCGAAGTTGAAATTTAATAACTAAAAATCATGAAACGAAAAAAGTAATTATTTATCAAAAGCAGACATTTTCGTCTCAACAAATAATACATTAATACAAATCAGATCAAAATAATGTTTTAATAAAAAAAACATTATTTTGATCTAAATATTTTTTTACATTATTACAGTTTCTAGGTAATTTATTTTTTAGATGTATTCTTTTTTATATATATATATAGTATGAAATTTAATTTATATATATAGTAATAATTATGTGAATAAACATTGGAAACTAGGTAAAAATTGCTTTAAATTTTTTATAATAGAACTTACGAAGTTAAATTAAATGTGAATTGCTGTAAAAAAGCCATGTTTGATGAAGGCTATGAAATTACCATTGTTTCTTATTTATTTCATAACCAGGTTTGACTGTTTGTTTTCTTTTCTTATTAAATTTTTTAATAATTGAAATTGCTTGCAAAATTTTTTAAATAGTAAAAATAGTAAGTAAAATTTTATTTCAGTGTAAGTAATATTTGCAAATTTTTTTAGTTTTTCCTACTACGTTCCGCATACTTGAAAACTAGAGTTGTGCTACATAAAACGATTGCTAATATCCGAAAGGTACCTTAAAACTTTGAAGTAGAGATTTGCTTTTTAAAGACCATTTGTTTTCATAGTGCATTACACACAGATGAAAAATGTGTCGTCAAAACTACTAGAATATTGTAAAATGGGTAATGCTTTTTGTAAAATTAACAATAAAATACTGTTTTATAATATGTGATCAAATATGTTAAATTTATCATGATATCTTTAAACTGAGCCTAAAAGCTATTTAATCGGTTAGATTTACTTTTAATTTTTATATTTTTGCTTAATGTGTGGTAATAGGAACTATATTTTTGAAAACCAGACCAGAACTGTCACCATATTAACGGAAAAATTACAAAATAAATGGCTTAAATACCGTATATTTTGGTTTTTATTACAAAGAAATATTTATTTCTTTAACCAGAAATGTCATTAACATACAGTACGGTAATTTTACCTTTATGTCCGTGCAGGGTTAGAGAATTAATCACACAAATTTAATACAAATTCGATGAAATTAATCAATATTAGTATTATTTCTTTGGATTTTATTTATCAAGTGACAAGTAACAAGAGTTGACAATTAAATATAGCTTTACAAGCTAAGCTTTTTCAGTCTCAAAGCAGCGGAAGCAATTAAAAACATTTTCTTCTGTTGCCTACCATAATATTTTCTGAATAAAGATTTCAAAAAAGGTAATTACTTCAATTAAATATCTTTTTACTCATTTAACATTTAATATGCCATACCTTAATTAATCCCTGAAATCTTTCAATTCAATAAGACTGATTTAAATATCTCTCTAATGAAGAAATTCTTTAAAGATTAGTCTTCTTGACATTAAGAACTATTTAAATCGTCTTTGTTGGATTCCGAAAAGATTTCAGTGGGTTTTATTAATATCTCTTCAGATGCAGTTTCCTTAATTTAGTGGTAAATGATTAAGGAGTAGAAGGCTTTGGGCAATTAGAATATTTATTATTTACAATTAATTATTTGTTTGCTATTCCAAATGAAATCTGAAAACTTAGCGTAAATATATTTATAAACGTGAAAACTATTTCACGTTCAAATCCTAAAAAGTCTGTTCCTGTTTTCTAAACTTATAAAATCTCAATCCCAAAATAGATTGCATTTTTTCATCAAAAAATTTAACATACATCTACTTTTGATTTAGAGTATTTAAACGCAGTAAATCTTGCTATTAATGCATAGAAATAATTATCAGCATGTTGTAATATTTAAGCCACATTCAATTGTAACTGAGATATAAAAAAATATTTTTTTTTAAAGTTTTTATAGTATTAATGTTTTAATATTCTTTCCATTACAAACAAATCAATTATGATAAATTACTAGAGTAATCCTTTGTAATAAAATAGAAATTAATTTAAAATGACACACATTCCTTCCATTACAAACAAATCAATTATGATAAATTACTAGAGTAATCCTTTGTAATAAAATAGAAAATAATTTAAAATGACACACATTCTTTCCATTACAAACAAATCAATTATGATAAATTACTAGAGTAATCCTTTGTAATAAAATAGAAATTAATTTAAAATGACGTTCTAAGTCACAAATAGTAAATTTAAAATTTCACTATTTGTGATTTGTGAAGTTGTTTTAGCCCATTTAAATAAAAGATGCAAAAACATTCATATTTGAGAAAAATAAACCTTGCAACCTATGCTCAAGATAAAATTAATGAATAAGTAAACACATACTGGCGAATTAAAATTAAATAATATATATATATATACAGGGTGGTCCCGAATTCATGGTACAAACTTTAATGGTAGGTACAGGACATTGTAACAATGATTTATTGTATAGGAATGTATAGTCGCTAGTGACGCGGTGAGGCGTAAACAGGGGAAATAAAAGGAAAGAGAAATGGAGTGATCGGTTGGTATCATTGCCGGTAGAGGGCAGTAGATGTCTAGCCGCCGTTGAAAATGATACATCGCAGTAGGGAAAAGAGTCATTCACAATTTTCCTGCCGCAGACGATGGGTGACTTTACGTATGCAGAAAAAGCAGACATGCATTACAAGTACGGCCGTGCAAATGGTAACGGCAGAGCTGCGTTACGAATGTATCACGCGGAGTATCCTGATCGACGAATGCCGGATCATAAAATTTTTCAACGGTTACATCGTCAACTTTGTGAAACAGGTGCGCTCGACGTCAGCAGACATGACGCTGGTCGATTAAGAGCTGTGCGCACTCCAAGGCTGGAAGAAAGCATCTTGAACATTGTGGCTGATATACCCGAGTCAAGCACAAGAACTGTTGCGCGTGACGTAGGCGTGAGTCATCAGATTGTATGCAGAGTGCTAAACGAAAATCGCTTACACCCCTTCCATTTTCAGAAAGTACAAGCATTGAATCCGGCAGATTATCCTCTCCGCGTGAACTTCGGCCTGTGGGTGATGCAGCAATGTGCGTTGCAGCCGGATTTCGTAGCTGATGTGCTATTTACAGATGAAGCGACATTTTCACGCGAGGGTATCTTTAACGCGCACAATTCCCATGTGTGGGCAACCGATAATCCACATGCAACGCGTCCACATGCGTTTCAACAACGTTTCTGTATTAATGTGTGGGCTGGTATTGTGAACGAATTTTTGATTGGCCCATACTTACTACCCACGCGACTCAGTGGTGGAAGCTATCTTGTTTTTCTGAAAGAAGTGTTACCACAACTGCTGCATGATGTTCCGATCGCCATTCGTAACCGCATGTGGTTTCAGCACGATGGGGCGCCAGCACACTTCAGCATTGATGTACGGAATTACCTGAATGCCACGCTTGGTGCTCGATGGATTGGGCGTGGTAGACCAATCCCTTGGCCACCCCGATCTTCCGATTTATCGAGCCTCGATTACTTCTTATGGGGACATCTGAAGCATCTTGTTTATGAGACTCCAGTTGACTCAGATGAGGATCTCGTCGCTCGCATATCTGTAGCTGCTGCAGGTGTGCGTGAAATACCAGGCATCTTTGAACATGTACGCCAATCGCTCCACCGACGCTGTCAAGCATGTATCGCTTCTGGTGGACGCAATTTTGAACACTTACTGTAAACATGACACTTGTCAACAACTCTTTCAATAAAATCTTTGTTTTTCCTTTCGGCCGTTATTTCTCCTGTTTACGCCTCACCGCGTCACTTGCGACTATACATTCCTATACAATAAATCATTGTTACAATGTCCTGTACCTACCATTGAAGTTTGTACCATGAATTCGGGACCACCCTGTATATATATATATATAGGGAAGAGGAAAAATTATTGAATTAAAATATTTTTAAAAATATATTTTATGAAGAAATAATATATATATATTCAAAAGCCGGAAAATAAAAAAAAATGAAAAGAAATAATCTCTTTAAAAAGGAGTGATATCCAACATTGTATCAATATACCCAAAACAAAATATATCAATACAATAGTGTGAGATGTACGAAAAAAATAGAAACAAAATCGAAAACATTAAGTAAAAATTATATTATACAAAAGACAGAAGAAAAAAAATGTAAGGAAAAAACAGAACAAAATATAAAACGAAATCTATAAAACAAGTTGTGAATTCAAAACTTACATGTACCGGAATCTTTCAAGAATGATTTAAAATATTTTCGTATTAAAATTGCCAGATTACAAAATATAATAACTGAAGCAGAAATAACGTTAATAGAGTTTTTTTTGGCAGGCACTGAACATTATTCTTTGCGTAATGTTAATAGAGTAAATGGAGGTATTTTGCCTTATGGCGCGTTCTTATTGCAGTGCTGAACCTTGTTTGATTTGTTAGTTACCAAGGATTTGCCCGAAAATGAATGTGCGCAAAGTAATATTATACTGGATAATATAATGAAGTTTATAATTAATGAGGTTAATTCAGGTTAGAATGAAGTCAGAAAATTGACATCTATTTTAAAAAAGAGAAAGAGAAACGTGATTTGCGCATCTTGCCCAGATTTATTGACACGGATTTGCCCGAATTGGATTTGCACATGGTAAAAATATAAATTAACAAAGAGGTTTTTTGCAAATTCGCTAATAATAGCATACAATTAACTCAGTGATTTTACATAGAATTTAATTACTTTAGTGGGGTATCTATTGTTAACAATTATTTAAATCATTCTTGACAATATTTAAAATCATACTTGAAATAAATATGAAATATATATATATATAT